GCTTTAAGTTCTTCATGTGTGGAGTCTTGAAGACCCAAGTGCAGTATCTTGCATTAAACCTAGATTAGCCTATTAATTTTTCCCTTATTTATTTTTGTTCTTCATAACTAATTAAGAAAACTTTTATAATAATGTTTAAAGTGTGCTTTTACATTGTGTACACTGGTAGAAAAGAATTGTAGAAGTGTCAGTTCTCTCCATTTATTCATGTTTGATCCAATATGCACCTTTTGGAGGATGCTGCTCGAGGACTTTATCAAGTCAAAAATCACTTTTCTGTAAGAGGTCATGTAGTATAAGTCTTATACTTAATTTCAGTATATTGTTTTGAGGTGTTTCACGCGTCTCACGCAGGTGCATTCAGATGTATGTAGTGTTTTGAATGCTGTTTTAAGTGCAGTCTCTCTAGACTAGTGGTTGGTTTGAACATGATTTGGCTTTTCTTTTTTTTTTTTGTCTGTTGGTGGATGTGGGTAGCAGAACTAAAATAGAAGATGAGACGACAACGAGAGAGGCAGAAGTAGGCTAATGAGATTCACACACTCCTCTGTGTGGAAGTATGCTGCTGAAGATGAAAACCATGTCAGTGTGATGGAAAAACCTGGCTCTTCCTCAACTAAACAGCGGTTTTCAACAGCATTTCATGAAATATCCGTCTATAGGACTGGATGAAATGATTATCCGTGGTGGTGTGTGGTTTCATCATGGGACAGCAGCTGATCAGATGTTTCATTAGAGCAGTCTGTTGAGTGAGATCCTCCCAGGAGACCACCGTGAGCTCTGCTGAAACATCAGAAGGGCCCGAGTGTTGTTTTACAGGCGACAGAGTGTACATTGATCTTAGGGGAAGAGAGCGAAGGAGAGAGAATGGCTCTGTGGTAATTGAGATGCCGTAATGTTTTGTAGTTTACTGTGACTTATGTTGGATAATTAGAGGTTATATTTGTTTGTACATGTCAGATCTGTCTGTACATCCTCATGAAAAATGCATCTGTCTGAGGTCTGTTGTTGGTATTTACTGCTCCCTCTGGTGGTCAGTTAATGAAAAGCCCATGATTAAAGGGAGAAATGTTTCTTTATTCCAGAATACACTTTTGAGAGACTAGTAAGAGTACATGTGCTTTCTATGCCTGATAGGTTTCTTCTTAGGTGGAATAAGGACTATCTTTGGGTGGATAGGGAGCCGAAAGCTCATTTATACTTGTGTTTGAATGTTCACACAGGTTCATGATCATTTTACATTTTACTCTTTGAAACCCACAATGTGTCTCAATAATTTACTTCTACTTTTTTAAGACTACTTTTTAAAAGCACCAATAAATCTTACAGACTGACCACTGTTTGAGCCAAACTGCTTGAAGTGTTTTCCAAAATCAGGTGAAGATGTCATGTGCGGGTGAATTGAATCAGTCCAAAAATGTCTGTCCTGCCATCACGGTGAAAAGAGGTCATCTGCTGACAGCTTAAAGGATTATGGGTGAAATGAACTTGATGCAAGCTGCCTTGTCTCTGTAGAGGCACAGGACGTCTTCACTAACCTGATAGTAAATGCACACTTTTTTCTTTCTAACAATGTGATCAACATGAGCAGCATTTTGAAGATGTAAAGCGGTTAAGAGCAGGTTATTTGCTCGTTTTGAGGGTAGCAGATAAAGATGTTGGGTTGGGTGGGATCACTGATTAACAAGAGCTGGCTGGACCAGGACCGCCCTGCGTCTCATCAGGACTGTAGGAAAGCTGGACTGATGGTACTGTGTGTGTGTGTGTGTGTGTGTGTGTTCAAATCAGAGAGAGGCTATGTAGTCTTAGAGGATTAGATATGCAGCGTGACTAGCTTTTGTTGTTGGGTCAAGACTTATTGCTTGTGCTGCTATTCAGTGCTCACTAAATTTCAGCCTCTGACTTTCGTTTTGGGTCCAGACTTGCATTAAATCAGCCAAAGAAGACCCCTTTGTGCTGGGGCAGAGTGGTTTTCTGTGCACTACATAATAGCTCAGACTGAATATTCGGAGACATTCATAGTTACCCTGTTCAAAGCCTTTGTTTTTCATGCTGCTGTGCTGAAGTGGTAGAAAGTTAACTAATGTCTATATTATATTTCATCACAAATTTGAAAAGTTTTTTTTTTGTTTTTTTTGCATTGTGCTCTCATTTTCATGACAATTAAGCACACCTACTTAATACAATTTAAAATAACAGATTTTTTTTCTCATATATTTAAAAATGTAATTTATTCCTGTGATGTGAAGCCGAATTGTCAGCATCATTACTCCAGTCTTCGGTGTCACATGATCCTTCAGAAATATGCTGATTTGGTGATTTCTTCTTATCAACGCAAGAAAGGTCAAAAGAACAGCATCTGTACTGCCTTTAAAAAACGTTAAACATTCACCTTTGTAGGCTCCTCACCCATTTCTGTTTTTGGGATGAAATATGACCCCTACACGTTTTTGTTCTTTTCATTCAAATACATTTGCATGTGCATGTTCATACAAATACTAACAAATTTAACACCGACAGTGGCTATCTAAATGTGTTATTGTTTGCTGGATTAAATACTGGATAGTATGAGGCACTAGTAAATACTGCCGTCCTCTTGGCTTTGTGCTGTTTTTGTGAGCAGGGGTCTGATTGTAAAGACACCATTATTAGTCAGTTAGTTATTCGGTGTCCAGGTTCTTGTGTTGTCTTTAAGGAGACTAATCCTCGTCTCTCAGTGTGACCTGTGGCCCGTCACTCTAATCTCATTTGTCGTTACACTGATTGTTTATGGCCCTGAAGTTTGGTCATTGGAAAGTGTCTGGTCATGTGACTGCATGAGAGACATGCAGAGATTTCTGCAGCATTTCTCCTCTGTAGACTGTTTTAGTCTCAGATGCACAGTCTCCTGTAATTTTTTGTTTGTTTGTTGCGCAGTAAACATGTATGGTAGACATCTTGGACTTTATACTGCACTTTACTACATGCCTTCTGTCATGTGATTGATAATTTACACATTTTTAGCAAGTGAATGTCTTTTTGCTGCTTTACTGATTTTTTTTCTTCAAGTAAACGTACAAATAAATGTTATATTGTTAGTAATTTCAAGATGAACACTGACTGGACTGAAGAAACGTAGGTTTACATGATTATCCATACATCATTTTTAGAAAAATCATGTTAAAATTTATCAAATATTATACAGCAGGCTTTTAAGGAATGTTTAGTTGTTCATCATCATTGAATTGCGTTGTATTATATATTTTGCCCACAATAAAAACTACAGAGCTTTGATCATAAACATTTAAATATCACTTTACTAAGACATATTATTAGGAGATATGGAGTGACAGCTGATATTTATATTAATTTTATGCAAGTAGTCCATTATATTTGTTTAGTTTGGGCCGCTGATTTTTCTTTTTTTATGAGCTCCATGTTCTAATTAAGTCAATACTGTAAGAGTCATAAAAGCCTGATGTTTTTAAAATATACTCAATACTCAACAAACACGTATGGGTCAAAGACGTTAAGATGTCCGCATCAAAAGAAATTTACAAAAGTGATTTTATGTCCATAGAAAGCACATTAAATACAAGTAAAGTGTCTACATTTAAGGTTTCAAATAAGTTTTTGAAGAATAAAATGTCAAAGTTTGGTTGAAATAATGTTCTATTGTCATTCGGTGTAATGTAAAAATTCAAACAACATGCTTATTCTGACCTGTACATATTAAAATATATAAAAGAATAAGTGAGCATATTCAATTTTTTTGGGTTTTAAATGAGTAAAAAATTCTTACTGACAAATGGGCAAAACCTAGGATAGTGGCAAATTTAAAAAATGTAAAATAGCAACTAATTAGTATTTGGGGTGAAAATAAATATATAGTTCAGTCATGAAACTCTAGATGGCGCAGGCTGACGGGTTGTTAATGTAACTGATGATATTCAGAGATAGTGTTGTCACGGTACCAAAATTTCAGTATTCGGTACCAATACCAGTGAAAATCCACGGTTCTCGGTACCAATTTCGGTACCAAAGCAAAACACAAAAACATGCTAATTAAAAAATTTGACTATAATTTAATCCAAACTGTGTACATATTTAATTTTAAAGGGCTTGTAAAACCTTCTAAAGTTATTCAACCAAGAATAACAACTAAGTTAGCTAAAAAAATAAAAATAAAAAAAGCCCAGAACTGCTCTTCTGACTGATATGACACAAACAATGTTAACCATTTGTACGTTCTCTAACAC